CTCTAGACTGGACACCTCTACATAAAAGATTTAAAATCTCACAACTTAAGCTCCCTACAGGTAATTCAAAACATATAAATAATTATCAAAAAATCGCATTTTTAAGGTTTTTGTTTAATTACAAAAAATTAATCGTTCAAAAGCTATTGTTCATCGCTTAAAATTTTTGTTTTAACAAGCACTACAGCTGGCTTATTGTTGTTTTTTAATTTCGCTTGCTGAGCCCTCTTTTTAATAAAAAAATAACTTTCGGCACCTTTCCGAATTTCTTAAATAATTTTTCCACTAATTTATTCATCCAAAAAGTCAACCATTGTATTTTCACTGTTTTTTTCCATTTATCGTGATGAAAAACTTCACTAGAATAAGATTTCTAAAAATCAATAATTTTTTGCTCCAGTCCCCGTACTAGTATCCATTGCTGTAATAAGGTACAATAACATTTACGGCTTATGTCGTGTGAAAATTTAATAATTTTTATTAAAAAATGTCATCTAAAAGCTGTTTTGTAATTAATTATTGCAATTAATTGGTTAAGTTTTTTTTTCCTTTTTTTTGGCCTGTTTAAGGGGGCTCCTCCACGAAAGTCCCCAAACAGAAATATATTATTTCTTGTAAATAAAAGTCTACTGAATTTAATGGTGGTCTAAATTATATTTCGAATGGGTCAAAATTTTGAGAAATCCGAGCTCAAAGTTGTAACTATTAGCACGTGTTCCTATGGGGCAGCGTGAAAAACAATTTGTTTTCGGTTATAATAAACCTAAATTAAATGTCCCAGCAGACTGAATATATACGTTTTGTAGATGAAGTCTTCCTCTGTAATATGCTGTATTAAATATTGTGGATAAAGGACCATTTTAGCGAGATATTTGTGATGGAAATAAATAAATAGTGTCCGGGAGGTTAGGAGGTCACGTAGGTAGCAGACGTACTTGTTCACGACATATAGATACCATATACCTATATATTACATCGCTATACTACACCAACACAGGTGGTCTGGTCTGGTGGTGTACCCTCGTATGCACTAGACTGGTCAAAACAATAATTAATTTTTCGTACAAAGTTAAACTACACACATAAATATCATTTTTCCCACTTCATACGTTATTAAAAATGTCATAATGATTTTCAGACACATTTGTTTATTGAAAAAAAAACTTTATTTTTTGTTTGTCTTTGTTCTCAGCAGTAGTCGTAGGAGCCCCCTTAACTTGAACTCATTAGAATTAAAAATTTTCACAGAAGTCCATGTAATTCTTTTAACACAATGATACTTTAGCCTCAGTAGTTGTTGGATGGACTTAATTGGCACCCATTTTATTGATAATTTTTACTAAAAATAAGTGTTGTAAATATTATAATAAAAACAAACTCAATTTAGTTAAAGCATCACTTCACACTATAAAAAGGATGAAAGCTGTGAAAAGAAGCCATTATACTAAAAAATAGTGCAAAATCTTACGTCTTTGTAAAAAATAATGAATTCCACGTAATCAAATTTGAAGTTATGATGCTATCTTATAACAAAACAGGCGTAAAGCTGGCAGGAATACACATTTTTATGTTACATGAATTAAATCACAGGATTTATTTTTAAAAACGTATCATGTGAGGTCATGGAGTGAGATAAATAATCTCATTTCTTCTTGATTAAGATCAATTGTCACGTATATTCAACCTTCATTTTTTGATTCATTAGAATAGATCATTGTTTGATGGGGGTTTAGTTGAAATCAATTGCGTTCAATTGTAGAAATAACTGAATTAATATAAATTAAAGTTTGTCTGTTTGATCTGTTTATTGCCCTTCTAGGAATAGTTAAGTGAGAAGCTGTTTTCAGTTGAAATTGATATAAAGTAAGACTTCGTGTAACACATAGTTTTATTTAAAAATTTTATAATATCTTTCGTTGCATAAACTCTCATTTAAATAATTTGACTACTCTTTGTTGATTTAGTTATTATGACTTGTGGCATTAAAACTTAGATTATAAGGTGTTTAAATTATAAGTTAAAAATAATCACAACAATTTAACTAACTTTAAAAGGTGTAAGACTAGTATAAAAACTAAGAGAGCAAACACTTACCAAAATTTGTACCTTTTTAGGCAGTATAGAGTAAAAACTGGACAATAAGATAAGATACAGTCAAATAATTATTAGATCGCGTAAGACACATCTAACATAACTAGTTAGTAAGTTTTTTTTTCAAAACTACGTACTCAAAGACGATCGAAAGAATGATACCTGATACGTGGTGTGCAGTGAGACGAGAGTTCGATTCTTTTCATAGTCAAAAAAATCATTGACGGTTTTTTAGTTTTTAAGTTTTAATACTATCATTTTCTGTACTACCGAGTAACAAAAACAGTTGATTCAGTAATCCATTAACTATTTATTATCGATTTATGATTTAAAAAATTTTTAAATCATTTAATGAGAAACAAAGTCATAAACAAAGAATGAGAATGTAGACTATATCTTTTATTGAGGTCTAGCATTGTGTAAGCCATGGGAAATCACTGGACCATGCACACCTGGCTAACACCTTAACAAAAATTATTTAAGAGTTATTAATTATATTTTTTGAGGGAATCAAACCTTAAAAACTAATTTTATTCATTTAAAAACGTTGAAAAAGTTTTTTACTTAAAATGTTCCCATATGTATTGCTCAGAGGTATGCGGTACTAAAATTCTATCTGATATTTTCTATGAACGAATATTGCTCAGAATAACTACTTTAAAGAAGTGATAGTAAATCAACTATCTCAAAAAGCTTATACCAAACTATGTTCAAATTTGTTTAGTATCCTTATTTTTGCACTAAAATCTGACAGTTTTAAATCCAGAAAATTTTATCGTATGAAAATGTTGCGCTTGCCCTAAGATTGCATAACGCTAAGAAACTAAAATTAGTTATTTTTATGTTACTTTTTTAGTAGATAGGTAGGTCCTTCTACAGTCAAGAAAAAAATGTTGATCTCAAAAAAACACAATTTTTCACAGCTTATGCAGACCCCACAAGGTATTTTTATACCATCATATCCAAAAAGTATATATTTCACATGTTTAGGACTAATCAGTTTTTCAACATTAAAAGTTTCAATACTTAAATAGTTTGTATCTAAGAGAAAATATTAAATTTTAGACAATTCTTTTTTTAAATATTGTTTTTTATTCATCCAGAACCAGCTTTATATTTAAAAATTGAAGAAAACATTAGAAAGTATAAGGAAAATTCTTTTTTTGCTATATTTTTTGTCGTATTTATTAACGGTGTGTGCAAAATGTAAAGAAAAATACAAATCTTATTAAAATTCAACTTTTGACCATTGTAAATTTTTATTTGAATTACAGTGCTGATGGTCTAGAAGACAATAAGCATTTAAAACAAATTAAACAATATATTTTTTCTGACTTTAACATGAATTTAATACAATATCACTAAATTGTAAATACGAAAATTGCCAATCTTGAAATAATACAAACTTTTTAAAAGTTTTATATATTTTCTTTAGAATTGTATTAAATTCTAAGAATTAAAGAAACTGGTGCAATATTAAAAAATGAATTTTCTTTACTACTTATTTTTAAGCCTTATCTGTAGTCCAGGGAGCTCGTATCGTGTTCCACGTTTTTGTAACGTACGTTGATATCTAAAATGTGATCATTCTGGTCTAAAGTATTATTACTTACAAAAATATGTAAAAAAACTGATGCCATAGTGTTAATATTGATGTATTAAATCATTTTTTAGATTTTATATGGACAGTCATACTTTTTAAGTTAACAAAAAATGTAGCAGGCCTGCCGTCAAAGCAAAAATTTCATTTTTTTGTCCAAACTTAATTGCTTGTTTTTGATATTTGTATTGAAATTTGATGACTATTAAAAAAATAATGAAAAAAATTCTCATACATCAACTTTAACGTCATATTCATTAGAAATGTGCGCAGACTACCAATCATTACCAATTCTTAAGAAAGTAGTATACAAATCTAAATAGTTTTCTACATATTTACCATGGAAAAACAAGGAACGAAAATTCTAAATGCATAAATAAATTTAAATTTCTCTTAAAATCTAACAAACTTTACTATTTTAAAAATTATATAGAAAACTTAGAAAAATTAACTTATTTTTAATGCCATTTTTGTGAATTCTCTGCATAAATTAGTATGTAAATAACGGATAAAAATTATTGATATGAGCCAAAATGCTTTTATCATACCTAAAAAGTTTTTATATGGTGCGTAATGAACCGATTTTGAAAAGGCTAAAGGACCTTCTCAGAGAACCTTATATGGAAAAGCTTACCTTTTATGGTAGGGTCTACTTCTAAATATGGCAACCATGTAAAGCTTCCGCAAGACGGTTCATGTGACTATATCCTTAGTATACTTTAGGCATTAACTTAAAATGTAAAGTGATGTTGTCAGTAATATCAAAAAAAAAAAAAAAAAGGACGAAACCTTAATTATTTTTCGAAGTTAAAAATCTTACAAACTTTTATTTATACAAGTTAAAAATAAATCCAGAACTATATGACGCAGGCGTATCAAAATAAGGTGGGGATATTGCTCTGGCTAAGCGGCCAAGCGGCGTAATAGCTGCTATATACACAAAATAGATGTAGTTGTGTATTTGAGTATGTATAGCATTATGTGTAAGTAGAACTCCGATTCACCGGGTAATAGTGCCCATAGTTGTAGATATATCGTAGGAATGTGTTCATAGCTACTGATCAGTTACAGCAGAAGAAAACAGAAACTTTAACAAATATCAATGCTGTTTCAGTCTGCCAGAAATGCACAACTAGTGAGCCATAAATTTTGAACTGCAACAAATTACATTTTCAACTGAAACTTTAAGAAAGCTTTCAGTCTAAAAATTTTTTATTCTTTAGTCAGTAAAAATAGACGCATTTTTAAAAATATTTATTAGAAGAAACATATTAAATTTTAAATAATGAAATTAATAATTAAAAAAAAAAAACTAATTTAAAATAAAATTTGTTACTACTGTAAGCGAATGAAACCAAAGTTATAGACATAAATGTGACAACAACCGTAATGGACCAGTCAATTAGTGCAAGAGATACTCGTTATGCCAGCCTTGGTTTTGGTATTGGCATAATAGGTGATGATTCTATCACTGAAATTTATGGTCGATCTAATTCTCAACTACAGTCACAAAGTGACAGTGAAAACAGTGTAATCGTTGGTGTGACCTCTGATAGCACAGGATCTATAGCATCTGAAACCGTCAATATATCACAACCAAATGACACTAGTATTGCAATTGTTAACATGCACCGTGGTCTTAAAAGAACATCTACTGATGTATGTTATGATAATTTAAACGAATCACCAGAAATATCTTCGCAAACTCAAAGTTTGTCTAATTGTGTATCTAATCATGCAGAGGAAAGTTATACAAATCTCGTATTGTCTAAGAAATCTCCACCGTCCAATGGTAAAAAAACCAAAGGGAGAGTGAAGATTAAAATGGAGTATATTGATAATAAGCTGAGGAGATACACAACATTTTCGAAACGGAAGACTGGCATTATGAAAAAGGTGTAACATAACTTTCTTACCCTTATGTATAAGGAAATAATCCATAACATACCAACTAGATTTCTTATCATTTTATTATAGTAACATAGTAATACATATTTTTATTTAGTTTATGAGTAGAACTTTTGAATCACACATAGTGGTCACAGCCTAACCATTTAATCAACCATTTAGTTTGTATTTATCATGGAACGTATTTTACTTGCGAACAAATACCGTAAACTGATAAAAGTGAAATTCAAAAGGTGTTCCAATCATTGTACTATTTTAGTAAGAATGATTATGGCGTAATACTATATGTTACACTTCAATGAAGCATATCAGATGTGATTTTACAAAAATATTAATTTCTTGTTTAAAAAAAAATGAATTATTAATTTCACTCACTATTTTGAAATATATAGGATATAAAACGAGAAATATTTCCAAAATTTAAAATATCCAAAACTCACGATAAGAATCTAATCTTATCGTGAAAGCACATAATAAAATAAGATAGTTTTCATATGTTGTATTTAAAATTTTAACAAAAGCTTCCAAGGAAAACCATTAAAAAAACAATATCAAGTTTTTAACATAGCCTGAATAGAGATAAGTAAATTTTAAACTTTTTTTGCATAGAATATTATACTTTTAATTGAACCCTTAAAAATAAGAGTAAATATAAAAATATAAGCAGATAAGTACTCTCAAAATAATGAAGTATATAACAGTGTACAATAATATAAAAGAAAACGTAAAAAGTTTACGTTTAGTCCTGTACTCGATACATGGAGATAATTGTATGCTGTGGACGCATTGTTTTACTACGCGAAACGCATACGTATTTTTACGCAACTACTATACTAGAAAAACTGCACTTTACCAAAAAAACAATTTCCTTTTTTATATTATCCATTAGAAGTATGTAATGAGAAAAAATTCTCTCAGACATCTTAATCCATTAAAAAAATTTTATTAAGCTTGAATTTCTGAAGAGAAAAGTACTTCATTAATCATGACACTTGTCCTATTCAATTTGTTTAAAATTGACGAATAAATTTTCTGAAATGACTGTATAGATGTACTTCAGTTGTAGCTCTTGTATCGAACAACAAGTAATAAATGTTGTGTGTTCAATTACTTCAGCACAATTGCAATTGTTAATAAAAAAATTTGCTTTTGAAACTTTATTTTTCCTACCTTAGGACTTTTTTTATTACATTTAGATATTTACAGCACCCTAGGTAGAAAAAAAGCATCTTCCATACAATCGCTATCTATCCGGAGCTACCTCTAACTACAGTCCTTCGAGCCTTATAATAGCCCCGGCAATAAGGTACTTTTATGACTTAAACTACTATTTCCTACCTCAGGCATTTTTGAGAGGCTGGTGTGGCTCTCAGGCCGCAAGATAACCCCAGAGACGATGTCACTTATTCAGCGACAACTACCATCCTGACCATAGGCTCAAATTCTTTGAACCGTGCAACCGTACTTTGGGCCCCCAAGTCTCACTTTGCGTCCTTTCAACCACTATGCGCCCATGGATGGAAATGGTAGTTTTCCTACGAGTTTGAAAAGTCTCTGTTTGCGAACCGCGAGGTTTGTGGCCTGAGCCAAAGGCGAGGGACGTAACGAGGTTCGTAAAGGAGACTTTTCGAACGAGTTCCGGAAAACTGCTTTTTCGCCCGAGGAAGTACCAGCCTCCCAAAACCACCCGAGGGCGGAAATTAGTACATTACGTCACTAGGACACAAATTACATACATGAGCGCCCGCAGGGCGCGGTTGTTGTTATTGCCCTAATCGTGTATAATGTTTTTCTTATCGAGGGCGCAAAGTGCAATTTAGTCTTCATGGGCATACTTTGCACCCGGTACATCACTTTGGGCCCTTGAGCAGAAAAGTACTTTGAGCCCAGAGGGTACATAAAAACTTTTCTGCCCGTGGGCCCAAAGTGATCACAAGAGCGCAAAGTGTGGCCCGAGGGTGCAAAGTAGCAGTTGTTCTTTGTGTCCATGGTAAGAAAAGTACTTGCAGCCCTAGGGCACAAAGTGACTAGCGAGCGGAAATATGCTCACAGGTCTTCAGCAGGACTTCGCACTCTTAAAAAGAAAAACAATGTTCTGACCTTGAGCACAAACATACAATGACACCACCCTTCGGGCAACTTTTTTTGAACTTTGCGCCCATGGTATAAATACTACTATTGTGTCACTAGCTCGTCTGACTATCCAAACAAAGCTCGTTTTATACTTTTCTTCACATCTTTCTTCAAAGTTAATTTAATTTTGCAATAGATAACATGGTCAGTAGTTACAATACTTTGGGCCGTCACAACAAACCCCCACCACCTACGTAGGAGCTTTTCATGACGAGCAAAGATGTGGCATGTGCGGTAAGGGACATGTCCCCACCATGGTTGGGTTCCCCTCCCAACTTTAAGCGTGAAGAGAGGGCTCCTGCCATTCTTGAGTTACTAGAGAGGTTAAAATTTCTTTTTTTCACTTAGTATGGGTATTTCTTATATAATAATAGGTTTCTCTAACAGAAAGAGTTCAAAATATTTTTTGAATTTTTTTTCATGATATCAAAATAAAATGTGATTTATAAGGATGTGGTGTGAATTTTAGGTAAATAACAACAAAGGTAAATACGTTTAATTATTTATTTTAGAATTCAAAGCCTCTACAAGTGCAATTGTATGAGATTATGCAATATTGTATATAAAATCGCATACGAATTCTTTTATTAAATATTCGCATTTCGTCATATCTATAGACATGACTTTTTCATACACACTCTCTAAATCTAAATCATTCATATCTCTTACAATTTTCTTTATAATATCAGCTCTATAATAATCGATTTGCGCTTCATACATATTACAACCTTTTTCTGAAATATAATCTACAAAGTTCTCCACAACAGTAGGCATAAAATCTGACAAATCACTTAATACACGTAAATTACAATTACTAGATTTGACAATAAATTTGCTTAAACGATCGAAGGTCACATTTTAAAACTAAACTAATACGGTAATGCTTCACGACACTACCTCTCACACCTTTTTACGTTCTTCTTCAAGCTCAATAGCCTTGTCGTTATTACTTACAGTAAACTTTAGGGACCAGTTAGAGCCATAAATTTTGATGTCCTGCAAGTTGCTGTCGTTCGTGGTAAAATACTTCTCAATATCTGGAAACGCCAATTTTAATTCGTTCCAATCCAAAATTTTGAAAAAAATCTCTTCGAAATCTGAGCTCAACAGACGAACTACAGGCTTCCAATGTTTGTCAAGTAATTTCTTATATTCCAGACCAACTACGGCTTTCTTGCCAAATGATTTATTCAACCCATAAAGCTTGCAAAAAAATTTTCGGACGTAATTGTTGATACTGCTTTACGCTTGAGAGATCAATTGCTACCGACTCCCCAATCCTCTTTTTCTGTAACTCGATCTTCCTGTTTAACTGCATTGACGATATCACGAGCAGTCAGAGACTAACGACTAATCCTACTTTTTTATGCTAGTTGTAGCTCAAAAGAAACATTGTTAAAAAACGTTTAGAGGTGGTAAGTCACGTTGTAGCATGAAAAATTGCGTCGACAACACATTCAGGATAAAGTTAATTGAAACAAGTATATCGTGTATCGTGTGTGGATAAAAAACGCTGCGTATGAAAATTTTTACCAACAATAAACATTCAGAGGTAGGATCACAAAACGCTGACATCATTTATTTTTGGAATTCATAATAATATAACATTATTATCTGTCACTAGACGTTCAAAAATGCGCAGACTGCACATTAGAAGTATATTTATGGATACACTTATTAAAGACATTTTACTGCAACTTTTTTGTAAGCATATTACCAGACAACCACTACCACCCGACAACGAACTTCTTAAATTTTTTTTGCTACACCTTAATAAGATGAAACGTCTGGCAATTTCATCATTCTTTTTCAAATCATGGGAAAAATTGTAAAAAAATTTTTGAAAACCCAAGCCGTTGCTCATGTAAAACAAAAACATTCAACAAAACTGATCACATACATTTGAAGATATGCTTTATAACTGTTTGACATTCTAACGCAGTTTCTTACAATTTTTACAAAATCGATTAATGTGCTGCGGTACATTAACTTAAATATTATAGCTACCAAAATATTAGCTATTAAAAAGTGCATCAACGTAAATAGCAACCCAATGCATATCTGGTTTTGTGTGATTATCAGTGTTAATGACAAGTGCCGTCGGTTTCATTTACACCCATGGGATCTGATTGGCTGGGAACACACCTGTGGTATGCGTTGTAATTTGCAGTATCTTTAGGCTGTCCATTACGTTTGCAGAGCCAAGATTTCAGTTTATGAGCGTTATTCAAGGCATACCGATATTTTTAATGATTTGGTTTTAATGCGTAATGCATACAATATGATGCATACAATACACTTCCGATGACAAATCTCTTAAAGGTGGACAGTCAATGTCGCATTCTAAATTTATTACTAGACAAAGAACTATTTTATGTAAGTCGTACCACTTTTTGCAACCTCTGACGTAAATTTTTCTTGCACTTCTTCCAATATTATTCAGAATTTTAAAAATTTCTTTTAAAGGTACTTTCCCCTTAAAGAAATCAAGTGCATGATGATTTCGACACAACTAAATATTTTGTCGTTGCGCCTCCTTACTTAATTTTTGCAAGTGACAAGTAGGTGTCTTTACCCAACGTGCAAAAAAGTCATCGTTCAAGCAACGATGGCATTTTTTTGTTCACCGTTACATTTTTTTTCACCTTGAAATACTCAGTGTCGACTACGAGGTCCATTGCGATTTACAGATGGTTGAGCGTACCAACAGAAACTAAACCGAGAGACGATTGTCGTGTCCGAGCAGTAAGTGTAAGTATATAGTAATTAGTGGCGCACTCTACTCGCTAAAGTCGACTCTAATTTGACATGACGCATCAATTTTGAAAATATTCTTGTACTCGGCATACACTATACTATTAACAGTCGAAGTTAGAGCATCGGCAAATCGAAGGTCCAATCGAACACTGCCGTGTTTAATTAGGTTTCAATGAGAACATTCGTTCGCTGATAAATCCGGTGTTGAATCGAAAACAAAGAGACAGTAACTTTG